TAATAAACTTTTCACAGTTTTTCGATTCTTGTTAAATGTTGATATCATTTCAGTTAATACCGATTATTTAACAAGTATGGCTTATTATGCAGAAAACTTGCAAATAATTTGATGCTTGTCAATTAATTAGTTTACGAATTTACTTTGACCATCGATTACTGCACCTAGAGCATACTTGATGATACCAGATAACTGTAAATTAATAAATATGGCCTTTTACAAAGTTCGAGGGCTTCGATTTATTTCAGTCGTTCGCCCCTTGTTTTTCTTTTCAAATAGTCTTCTCGTAATTATTCGTTACATAGCATTTATTTATTCTTTAAAAATTTTCATTATTTAAAGAACAATCATCATCATCAAACTTTAGTGATTGATTCATCGTTCGTTATTCAACAATAAAGAATTTTAGAATTCTTTCTTTTCTTTCTTTTCTATTTTAAAACTTCAAAATTAAAACTTGTACCTAAACTTGTCTTATTTACTATGTAAAGTTGTTCTCCATACCAACATTGACCTGCCCATGTGTATTTCAAACTCAGACACTCACTCAGGTGCATTTTTATTTTATTAATAATATCGTTGTGTATCATTATTACGTGCAAACTTCAAAGCCAAAATAGAAAAAATATAAGTTAACATACCAATATTGACATGTCTATGTGTATTTCAAAACGACAATTCGAATTCGAAGGTGTAATGAGATAGTTGTAATAATAAGAGAATATTAGTAATTATTATAATTGAATTGTAATGGATTTAATTTGTAGAAAGGAATATACGGAAATTTATTAAAATTAGAGGAATGCTTTATAACAAGTGATTTCGTCACTTGAGAAGTTTTTTTTTATAAATATGGCAAGTTTTATTTTTTTAATTATCAAAGAATGACTTATGACAGTGATTTCGTCACTGGTGGGTGTAGCTTGTTGTTTATTGCTTTACAAGTTTCTATTCGAATAAGGTTATTATTTGAACCAATGAATGATTTGACATATATTATTACAAGAAAAATCTCTGGTCTTGGAATGATTTTAAATTACTTTAGAAATAAAAAGCTTGTGATCGATTTGCAATACCATGATTATAAAGAAGGAAATTCTTTGTTCATTATTTTTTTTAGTTGTTATTGTATTGATCAAATATCTAAATTTCACAAGCAGAATATGATTTTAATTGAAAGAAGTTGCTTCTATGGCACCTAGGCCCAATTTTAGCTAAATCAAGTAGTCTAAAATATCACAAATAAAAAAACACTTGTAATAATGATACCATGCAAAAAATTTAAATAAATATAAATAAAACAACCAACCTCTTTATTATGGCGTTTTTTTGATTGCACCTACACCAATATAGGCGAATAGAGAAAAAATTTTCACCAATACAAGTTCAAAAATGTATTATTACTAAACCGCTACCGTAGTAAATTTCTAATACCGAATTAAACTTATGCCAGTGTCAAAACTGACCAGCATTATACGATAATGTTACCAGAATTTTATACGTATAATTTTGGTCAATTTTGACCCCGGCATAAGTTTACGTAAGTTTTAATTTCCGATGTTTATTATTATTATCATTATAATTATAATTATAATTATTATTGTTGTTGTTGTTATTCCTTATTATTAAGATATATTCCCGATTTAAATGCGCTTTGAAATTTGTGCACGCGTGATTTTTTTTCCCGATTGACTTATACATATTTATATATTTATATAAATATTTTATCACCCTGTTATATCAACACGATAATATTTTGCGAAATATTTATTTATTTTCCATAATCGCATTTTACTTGACAAAACAAATATTTTTTATTGAGGTGGCATAATAACTGGGAAAATTATAATCCGAACCCATATTTTTGTCTCTTTGAAAGAATTAAAATTTTAAATTGTTTGTAAAAAAATAATTTTTTTAAAATTTTTTCCAACTGAACCAATTGAAAAAAAAACCAAAAACTCGGAAATATTATTTTTGATATCTCTTTTCATGCAAACAATATTTGCCAATTGCTTCTTGTATAATCAACAAAATTATTCCTTTGAAAAAATTTGTAACTATCCTCTCTCTTTCACTCTCTTCAAATCTTTACTCGTAGAACAATAAGAGGAAAATTATTCCTTTTTTTAATAAATACTCTTGATTTTTTGCTTTTTTATCTCGCAGCGAAGCTCTCATGTTAAATCTTTCCTATATAATTTCAACAATTTTCATCAAATTTTTTTTTATATACTGTTTATACAATTAAACAATATTATATATCCTCAATCCAAAAATAGCAATGGAAAATAATCATAGACGTGCTATTGGCCAATGGTTGAAGGATAAAATTTTTCCTCTCAAAGAGGACAAAGTGTCGGATGCATATTACTATCATCTGTCTTTATCTATTAATCGCAACAATAGTCGAGAGCTTTATAAAGATGTAGACCGCCATCAATTTTTGTTATATTTAGCTCGATATTATCTTAACACGGTCCAACATAATTTCACCTATGACATCCAGAGGAGTCTGCTTAGCGCAGTCGTTGGTAATTTGTATAGAAGCGCCTCAGACAGTGAAAAATACAAAGCAGATATGTATTGCAAGCGATTCAATGAATCTATTGCTGAGGCGAATAAGGCCAATCAGAATTATTACTATCAACGTGACCTGGCCGCAGCAGATAATGAAGACTATGAAGATAATACTACTCACCAAAACTTAGATGATGATGATGATGATGATGGAGTGATCGATCAAGATTTTATGCATGAAGGGAGTAGCTCTTATTTGTAATCAAGTTTTTTGTGATATAAACTTGATATGGATAATATTTTATTTATTATTGTTGTTATTGTTGTTATTATTGTTATTATTATGTATTATTTATTTATTATGAAATTAAGATTAAAAAATAAGCCTAAGTATTAAGATTTTAAAAAAAAAATAAAAAAAATAATTATAAGAGTAATTACTATTATGCAATGATTTTTTCATGCAAGGTAATGTTGGTCAAAGTAATTATTATCTAGCTCAAGATATGTATACAGAAATATGTCAAGAATCAATTCCAAAATTAGAATCTATTAGAATCTACTATATATGATATTTTTAAAAACTTATTAATGTGTGAGCCAATTTTTGTCATGTATTAATATAAGTATTTCAAAATGATGTTTTTTTTGAATATTGTTTGATAAAATTCATCAGGAAAATAAATCTTACATAAACCTACGTAGGGTTCAGAATTGGCCAGCATTATGCTGATATTTTGGTAATTCTGTTAACATTCCGCATAATGCTGGTCAGTTTTAAACCCTACGTAGGTTTACATGAGATTTATTTTCCTGATGTTGTTATTGCAATTTTTTTCGCCAAGTTTAGAGGGTCATAACTTAAAATTTCGGTGAAATTCCTAATCGACCCGTAAATTTGTTTTCTAAGAAACCAAATCCACACTATAAAAATTATATCGGAGGGTCGAGAGATTTAAAATAATTACATGTAAAATTTTGAAGCATATTATTATGTAGGTTTTATATCAATGATTAAAAACTTTACATTAAAATTTTTCTTTTCAAAAAAATCGAATATCTCTTATTTTTAACTGAAAATACAATTTTATATCCATAATTCTCAGAATTTAAGTTACGATTTGATTTTTTTTTTTGTATAACTATTCTATTATGTGTGTTTTGTGTTTGCATGTTAAAATTTCAAAAGATATGGTTTGTTTGACCTTACAAAAAAATAGGCAATACTATAAGTTTTTTTTATTCAATAAAGCAAATTGATTGGCTTTTAATTATCTTGGAGTAATTCGAGCTTGGGATTATTGTACGCGTAATTTTATTAAATATACAGAGTAGTTAATAATAATTTTTAATAAATAAAATAAATGAAGAATTTCAAAAATGTATATAATAGACTCAAGTTCGTCTGACAATAATAAACAAAAATCGTGGTCTTGATTTTTTTAAACAATAAAGACATTAATTTTGTATTCAGTAATAAATTGGCATTGTAAAAGTAAGGCTGTTAAACAAGCTGCTTAAGTTGTTTTGTAAATAAACCAGAGCGAGTTTATAACCCGGCCAACAAGTGTAGACGACTGAAATAAATCGATTATAAGTAAGTTAGTGAACTTGTTAATTGATAAGCAACGTATTACTTGCCCATAATCGATGTTGACCAAAAGGCTACCTTGCAATATCAACATCATTGAAAAGGTGCTATAGATAATGATTGCTATTTTTATTAAGTAACGAGTGAGAAAGCATGACAAATTCGCTTCACGAACAATTCTTTGAAGGATATGTTCACAATCTATTACGAAATGGAGGAGAGTTTAATGTTAGAAGTCTTGATAATAACAATAATAAGATTTACAAAAACATACATAATAATCGTACAAAAGATTATACCATTTTGTAGTGAAAGTTATGGAGATTATGTATATAGAATTTTATACTTTTAGATTTTCTAGAACTTTGTCAATTGAAAAAAGAAATTTGATTATTTTGAAAGAAAAAAATTCAATGTGTAATTAATAATTGCTTCACAAAATTTATATATTATGATCCGATTCTCTGGTATAATTTTTATTACATAATTTTGGCCACTTTTTCATTAAAGACAAAATTTTACAAACCGACGAGTTTTTTTTAACACACTGTGTGAATTGGACTGAAATTCTAACGAATCTCTGTCTAAATTAGCAATTAGCTCAAATTTTTCACGCATTAATAAATTTTTTAAAAGGGTTATTAATTTTGAATGTTTTCATAATATCAATTGATTTATATATCTTGATTTTTCAGTCTTTTACATTCAGCTCTTAATAAATTTTACTTTTGGAATTGATTCTTTGTACAACAATCACCTTTACCAACATTATCTGCATGAGAAATAAATAATATTTTTATTTTTTAATGAATTTTTTTTTTAAAAATAAACAACTTAAGAAATGATGCTTATGTATTCTTATGTTTGTTGATTGATAACTAACTGGTTACTAGTTTGATGAGAATTGTACACCGTCAATAAATGAATCAATATCAAATTCGTCCTCGTCACGGTCATTACTTCGATTTGGACGATTTTGATTTTGAGCAGGTGCATCAGCGGCTGCTCTATCACGTTCATCATAAAAAGCTTTATTTGCGCTATTTGCTTGATCGGTAAGTTCATTAAAGAGATCACAATATAATTTGGCCTTTGATAATTCATTACCAGAAGCACTTGTAACCAAAACATCAATAGCCGAGCAAAGCACATTCTTCGGAACATATTCAAATTCGCTTTCTTCGGTTTCTAGAAGATACTCCCCAATATTTTGCAGGTATTGATGAAGTGTTGTCATATGTTGATAAGGTTCACGGGGATTATCACGGTTATTAGATGACCACTGATAATACAAATGCGTATTTTGCGTCTTTTCTTTTGTGAGAGGAAATATTCTTGGCTCCAGCCATTGGACAAGATCTCGATTTATGTTGTCTGACATTTTAAATTAATTTTGATTTTTTAAAAAAGAATTAATCGTGGAGATTGTATATAAAAAAATTTTTCAGGAAGTTCATTAAAAAAAGGTAGGAATTAAGCATAAATGTTATTGCAACTTGACGCAGAGATAAAAAAAGGAAAAGGTCAAGAATATTTATTAAAAAATGAAATAATTTTCCTCTCTTGTTGTTTTACAATTATAGAGTGTAAGAGTGAAAGAATGAGAAACTGATCGCTAAAAAAATTTTTTTATAGGAAACAATTCACGCGTTAATTGCTATGCAACAGGTATTTTTTTTTTTTTGTTATCTGAAAAAAAAAAAGAATTTAAAATTTAATTTTTTCAAGATAAAAAAGAATATAGTGTTAATGCAATGTGTGCATGGGTTGTGGATTATTGGAATTATAATTTAATTTTTCCAGTTATCATGCCGCTGTAATAAAGAATATTTTATTTTGTTGACCAAAAATGAATAATTCAAGGAAAATAAATAAATCATTATACGGCGTATTGTGCTGATATAACAGGGCAATATAAAATTATTTGTATTTAATATATAATAATATGTATAAATCAAAACAATCGGAAAAAAAAAAAGCATACATACCAATACACAAAGTTTTAGGCGTATTTAAGATTATTACATCTATTTTATCGGATTTATTTGTAAACCGATCGGTTAATTGTTTAAGAGAAGATTTAGTCCCTAACATTAGTTTGTCCCTTCTTTTGATACCCAACCTTTTCAAAAAATGTAAATAAAATTATATTAACAAAACATTATTTATTATCTTGAATAGAATTAAATATAACCTTAAGATTTACAACATTTGACTTGGTAATGTTAATTTGGAAATTTATCTATAAATGGCTACCTATACTTTTAGGTATTGATACATTCCAGGTATATAGTTGGAATGGAAATTTATGGTAGCGGTTTAGTAATTTCCACTTTTAACGACGATTTTTGAATTTGTATTGGTGCAATATTTTTCCTATTCATAAAAGTCCTTGCTTTAAATATGACTAGCATATTGACATTCTCCATTCGAAAAAAAACCGGAAGCCACATAGATATGTTACTCTTTTCTGGGTAAATCAATATCTAAAATTAAAGATTGAAAGGTTACAGAAATTTTGGATAAATTATTATTGATAGATAACATGGAACTTTCGTACGTAGAGAGAATAACGAAGCAACAAAATATGGACATATTATATATGTAATGTAACCTAACACTTGTGCCCATTATAAGCTTTAACAAAAAAGGTTAGTGTACTTATCATTTGCCTTTTATATATTAATAAAGTATATATATAGATCTTCAGGAGCATAGTGGAAATTTGAAATGTTGCACCAATTTTTTATATCGTGCAACGTAGCTTTACAATACACGGCAAACATTATGGCAATAAAAAGTAAGTGATAAACTGGATTTGAATTGGATCCGAACTTGATCTCCAATTTAGAGAGGTAATAACTATATACTGGCGAAGTTTCAGAAGCAATGAGCTCTGTATAACGTTTCGTGTAACAACACACTTCCACTATGCTATCTTCAGGCTAAAATTGTTTTACAGTCAGTAGAGATTCCGTACAACTTTCAATTCCTTACAATATATTTTTTTTGCTCCGTACATTTTTTATTTATATTTTTTAATTTTGTACGGAACGGAATTTGTGAATTCTGAAAAGTTGATTGGTGGGGGCCAGTCTGTACGATCTTCGATTCCATATTTTTGTTTCATATAGAGCATTTTTTTACTACAGAGGCGTAAATGTACGGGAATATGGAACCTCTATAGACTCATTGTTTTACTGTGAAAAATGTGTTTGTAAATCTAATGTTAAAGCTTAGAATCCAATTCATGAAGGAAGGGATTTTAATAGAGATAATCGGATGTAAAAATTTCTTTTTTTTTTCTTTTTGCTGTTATAAAGTCATATGGCACTTATATTCCAATAAAAAAACAATTAAATATTACAAATAAATCTTTTTCTTTATCTTTCTTGATCCGCTATTTTTTTAGGAATTCCGCTAGTATTTTTATCATCAAAAAATTATTTTAAATTTTTGCACTATTGCAGAAGTGCGCGAAGAAAAAAAATTAGCGGAAGTTTCAATTGTAAAACGTCCATGGAAGAAATATTTAATAGGAGACTGTATTTGTTTCAACTATAAAATAAACATTTTCATATAATAATATACTTGCTATCTATTTTAAACGGAAATAAATAATTGCATCGCACAATCAATAATAATTCGAAATTAAACTGTAAGAAGCCGATTTAATAATATCCAAGTTAGAGGAGAGCAAGAGAAAATAAAATTATTTTCCCTTCCAATTTTATAAAAACCATTCCTACGTCTATGCAAGTACTTCTTCCTCCTTGTTTTAATTTGGTTCATATTTAAATAGTGGTATTTTTCAGTCGTTGGCAGATTGGAAACTCGCTTTGGTTTATTTACAAATCAACTCAAGTGGCCAATTATTGCGATCGCAGAATTAATTGAAATCACATTTTTTGTTAGATAAATCTGGGTATATTATATGCTTTGTAATGCATTTTGAAATCAACTTTTTATTTTATCTATTAAAAATTATTATCAATTTCTTTCTATGTTTTTTACCTTTATATTTTATTTAGTTTGTGTGTATATAGGAATTGGACCAAAAATTCAGGCTATTATAATGAAACACTGTCTTCGAAAAGGTTGCAATAACAGTTTTATCATCATTTTGAAATATACAGTACGTGACAAAAATTGGCTCTTATTTTTCACACATTAATAAATTTTTAAAAAGTATTATGTTTTCATATTAGAATTGCTAGTTGATATATAGTCTATCAGCCTTACATGCAGATCTTGATGGATTCTGCTTTTAGAATTGATTATTGACGTGAAAAATCATTGTAAAAATAATATTTTTTTTTTATTTTTTAAAAGTATTTTTTTAAAAAAAAATCAATTTAAGAAATATGTGTGTGCTTAATTATACATGTGTTTATTTTTATGTTTAACAGTATCTTATGATTTATGCTTATTATTTATCAGTTAGTTATCAATTGATAACTAACTGATTACTACCTTATGTAATAATAACTAGAATGCGGATCCACCATGAAGCAGAGCAGATTCATCGTTATCATTATTTCGATTTGGGCGATTTTGATTTAGAGCAGCCGCATAAGCAGCTGCGCTATCGCTTTCATTAAAGCAAACTTGATTGCTGCTATTAACTCTATTGGTAAGTTTATTAAAGAGATCACGATATACGGTGGCTTTTAACAATTCTGACCCGGAAACAATTCTAGTCAAATCATCAATGACCAAGCCGAGTAAGACCCTCGAAATTGGTGGAAAGTTATCTCGTTCATTATCTAAGAAATAACTCCCCATATGTATTAGATATTGACGACGTGTCGTTATACGTCTGTAAGGTTCGCGGAGATTGCTGCGGTTAATATATAACGACTGATAATAAAGATGCGCATTCCGTGTCTTTTCTTCCGTCAGTGGGAAGATTTTTAGCCTCAACCATCGTCCAAGATTTCTTCTTAAAACATTCGTCATTTTAATTTAATTTTGATTTTTTTCTAAAAAGAATTAAATATTATTTAATCGTGAAGACAATACGCAAAAAAAAGCTCGGGAAGTTTATTAAAAAAAGGTAGAAATTCTCAAAATCAAACATAAATGACTTGACGCCGAGACAAAAAAAAGTAAAAGTCAAGAGTGAGTATTTATCAAAAAAATGGAATAATTTCCTTCTTATTGTTTTACAATTATAGAATGTGAGGGTGAAAGAGAGAAAAACTAATCGCAAAAATTTTTTATAGGAAAAAATTCACGCATTGATTATTATGCAAAAAGAAGTGGGTTCGTGAAAAATTTTTTTTGCTAACTGAATTTAAAATTTAATTGTTTCAAAAAGATGATGTCAGTGAAGCGCATGCATGGGCTGTGGATGGTTGGATTATAATTTAATTTTTCCAGTTATTATGTCATGGCAATAAATAATATTTTATTTTGTTAAATAAAGTTGCAATTATTCAAGGAAAATAAATAAATATTTCGTTAAAATATTATTTATATTAGTATATAATAATAATAAATAATCGGAAAAAAAAGCATACATGCACAAAATTTCAGATTTATTGGTGTTAGATCCATTTGTTGAATTTATTTGTAAACCGGTTAATTGTTTAAGATAAGATAAGATTTTGTTGGCTCGTCCTTTCTTTTGATGCCCAGCCTTTTTCAAAAACTTGTACATAAATTATTATATTAACAAAATATTATTATTTTGAATATAATTAAATATAATCTTAAGATTTACAACGTTTGATTTTGTAATGTTAATTTTGGATGGAAATTTAGCTACCTATACCTTTAAGTATTGATGCATCCCAGGCAGCGGTCTAATAATCTCCACTTTTTTTGAACTTATATTGGTGCAATATTTTTCTATTCGCATATATTTGTCAAAGGCCATTTGAAAGGACCCTGGGAACTGCATAGATAAGTTACCATTTTCAGGGTATGTAAAAATTGAAAAGTTACAGAAAATTGATATAAATGGCTAGAAATTTCATAGGGTAACGAAAAACATGGTTAATTATAATATGGGGTGTTGATTCCCCAAAAAAACCGGCAAAATATGTTACACATGTTTTTTATATAATATTTCAAGAACATGCCATATACTAGCCGAGATCCATTTTGTTATAAACACTAACCTCCTCCCCATCTGAGATTTATAATAATATTTGGTTTTAAATAAAACATTTATTTTTTCTCAATTTTTCCAGCATCTGGAAAAGTTGAAACTCACAGTGGAATTCGATTTTTATTATTGCGTGTTCTTTAATAATCCTACATTTAAACATAATTTTCAATTAAATACAAAATGCAATATTTCTTATCAAGACTCAAGTTTGATAAAAAATTTATTTATTCATTACCAGCAAACTTGTATCGAGAATTTGCTGATGCATATGCTTATCCCTTTAATATTAAATGGTCAGAGTAGGACCTCGCAAACTATATACGTAGATAGATTACTGCCGCAACTGGGAAATTGCCAAATTGGGAACATGTGTTGCCAATAAGCCCTATATCAATCACGATCAGCAAAGTAAAAAATAGTCGAACACAAAAATTGTTTATTTTATTTAACACGTCACTGTTCTCAAGAACATTTTCCAGATATTCACGTTTTTATATATTATATATCCACTACCATTATAATAACAAAAAAGGCATGCATGTAACAAAATGCATCTCTGGTTTGAAGCAACACAGATATCTCTAAATGACAAACTTGAGAAAATAAATAAATATGTCTCATGTTGAATTAATTATTTTTATTCATAAATAATATATTCACAAAACGTTGAAAGTTTTCGTTAACTTTGCACCTTGGTATCATCCAATATATCATATGCAACATAAAATTATATCCTATTAAGCGATTCTTTTTTCCTAGTGAAAGAATTCAAAAATTCATTGTTGGTAAATGATTTAAAAGTGACGGCGGAATTCCAATAACCAAATCATCGAAAATATTTGCTCATTCAACACACTTCCTATTTAACACCTATTATGATATGAAGCATAATAATAATATCCATACCTTCTTTTGATCTAACAGATACAAGTACATTGTAAATATTCTTTCATACACTATAAAATAATCTTTCAAAGTGTAATGGTTACTGTGTAGTGCAGGACATCTATAACAGCCAATGATAATCACATGACTTTAAAAGCTTCTAACTTTTTATTAAAAAAGAAAAAGAAAAAAGTAAACCGATAGAATTAAAGCTAAAGTCTTAAGCTTCATTTCCATCGATTTACTTTTTTCTTTTGATTAAAAATTTTAGGAGATTTTATATATGTCTATATATAAATTGTAAAATTTCAGCCTTTTAGGAAAAGACACAGGGAATCTTTCCAATATTACTTCTCGGACAGACATATTTAAAAAATTTATCCGGATGGAGAATATCAATATGCTAGTCATATTAGAACAAGGGCTTTGCCAAATATAGATCAATTACAAATTCAAAATCGCCAAAAGCGGAGAGATAACCAAACCTCCACCATAAATTTTTATTCCAATCACCTGAAATAATTCTATCCATAATTAATATCTCTTCTTAAGATTAGATTTAATTAGATTGGGCATCAAAAGGAAGGACGAATGAGTGAAAGGAACGAAATCTTATCTTAAACATTTAACTACAAATAAATCCAACAAATAAATCTAATTAATCGGATTAAATTTAAAGGCGCCTAAAATTTCATGCACGTATACTTTTTTTCCGATTTATTTATATGTCAGTATAAATAATTTCATATCACCCTCCCTGTTAGCATACAAGGAAAATAAATAAATATTTCGCAAAATATTATTGTATAATCGCATTCTTAGTTAACAAAACAAATATTCGTTATTATAGCGGCAAAATAATTGGGCTGGGGAATTATATTATAAACTAATCACCACCAACCCATACATACATTGACATCATCTTCTTGCCTATTTAATGTTAAATATATTATTTTTTTTCTTCCGATACAAAAAAATTTTTTACGAATTACTTCTTGCATAATAATTAACGTGTGAATTGTTTCCTATATAAAAAAAATTTTTGCGATTAATTTCTCTCTTTTTCACTCTCATACTCTATAATTGTAAAACAACAAGAGAGGAAAAATTATTTCATTTTTTTAATAAATACTCTTGACCTTTCCCTTTTTTTATCTCTACGTCAATCCGTATTAACGTTTATATTTAATTACTATATATCTTTTTCAATAAACTTCCTCAAAATTTTTTTTATATACGATTTAATTCTTTTTTTAAAAATCGAAAATGTCTGATAATACAGATAATATAAGAAGAAATCTTGGGAAATGGTTGAAGTCGAAAATGTTTCCTCTCGCGGAAGAAAATATTGATGATACGTGTTTTTATTATCAAATTTTATGTAATAACCGTAACGATCCCCAAGAACTTTACCAGCATATAAAAACACCTGTTCAATATCTGTTAACCTTTGGGGAGTATCTTCTGAAAGGAAGCGAATTTGAAGGTGTTCCGAGCGAAGTGCTTCGCTTTGTTGTTGATGATTTGGTTAGAAGCGCTTCTGTGAATGATTTGCTAAAAGCTAAAATGTATCGTGATCGTTTTAACAAGCTTATCGATAAAGCAAATAGTGCAAATAAAGCAAATAGAGATTCTTATAGTGAATATTATAGCGAGGTCGTTGATACAGCTACTGTTACAACCGCTCAAAATCAAAATCGTCCAAATCGAGTTAACGAACGTAATGAGGGCGAATTAGATGTCAATTCATTTATTTTTGGAGTTTCATTCCGTCAAACTAGTAATCAGTAGTATTAGTTCTTAACTAACTGATAAACATAAGCATCATAGTTATCTCTTTTTAAATATTATATAAAAAAATAAAAACTTATTTATCTATAATCTTTCTTAGTTTTTCAGCCTTAGTAAATTTTTTTTTTTGGAATTGATTCTTGACGCATTTATGTATAACAATCACTTTGACTACATGAAAAATAAATAGCAATGCTAATAATAACCCATTTAAAAAACTTATTAATGTGTAAAAAATTTGTAAATGTCACATTTAAAGCAATGATTTGATATCCAAGTATTGAAAGCTTTCCCAGCTTCATAACATTGAGTTTTGTTTAATCCTGCTGACTAGACCTCTTCATCACATCAACCACATGATCTACACAATCTACACTTGTTCTTCAGTAGAGTTTTTTAATCAAGCCAAAACTACCATCACATTTGAATTCAACACTTTCATAATAGCCACATTTTTTATTTTATTTTATCCACCAACATTATCACAGGTAATCTTCACCTTTGTTCAATTTTTTATTCCATCAAAGAGTGCCACAAAGACCTTTTCCTATAATTTCATCTTCATCAAGAACATAGTTGACCTGCTTCATCTTGAATACCAAATAAGTGGACTAGATAATAGATTTTACTTACCTGTTGATCTGAACGTGGTGCATGAACGTTTTGGGCTCAATCATAATTATAATGAGCAGTAGCATCAATGCTGCAATACTATGTATTACCTTGGAAATAATTTCGGTTAACTAGTTATTAATATTAAAAATAGTAATTCGAAATAAAAATTAATTTTACTAAATGAAATTTTGGTAGCTTATGCACTTGAATATATTAATATTAATGTGTATGGATGAATTTTTGAATTTTCCTCATGCACTTCTGTAAATAAATTTTTTTATTATATAATTTTGCAATAGCACAAAAAAAAAATTAAAGAAAAATTTTTTTTTGATAATAAAAAATACCAGTGGAACTTCTAAAAAAAAATAACGAATCAATTAAAGAGAGAAAGCCTTTACAGTTTAAAGATAAAGATTTATTTGTAATATTTCATTGTTTTATTGAAAATATACAGTAAGTGCTATATGATTTTATAACAGCAAAAACAAAATGAAACCTTTGAATTTTTTATGATAAAAAGATTAGATATGCACCCAATGATTACTATTAAAAATTATCTCTTTCACAAATTAAATTTTAAGTTTTAATATTAGATCCTTGTTTTCAACTCAACGCCTAAATTTACGCATTAATGAATGATTAATGTATATATATTTAAAACGTTTATCTACTTTTATATTATAATTAATATAAAAGAGGCAAATGATAAACGCGCGCATTAACCTTTTTTATCGAAGCTATGAAAGATTACAATGTGTTACAGAATATATATAATCCTTTAAGCCATATAAAATTCCGTGTAACCTTTAAATTTTTTAGATATCGATTTACCAGAAAGGGGTAACTCATCTATGTGGTTCCCGGGGTTCTTTCGAATGGCAATGTCAATATGATGGTCATATTAGAGCAAAGTCTTGTCAAGGTGAATAAAAAAATTTTGCACCAATGCCAATTCAAAAATCGTCAAAGTGGAGATTACTAAACGGCTACCATAAATTTATATGGAATGTATCAATACCTAAAAGTATAGATAGCTATTTATAGATAAATTTCTATCCAAAATTTCTATCCCGAAATCAAACGTTGTAAGTCTTTTTATATATTTAATAATATTCAAGATAATAATATTTGTTAATATAATTTTATGTAGAATTTTTTGAAAGAGGTTGGGCGTCAAAGGAAAGGACGAATGAATGAAATTTTACCTTAAATACAATTAACCGGTTTAAAAATAAATACAATAAGTAGATCTAATCAAGCAGACTAAATTTTAAGGATGTTTGAAATTTTGCGCACGAATAATTTTTTTTCCGACCATTGATTTATTTATACAAATTAATATTATTATATACCAATATAAATAATTTTATATCTACACGATGCATATAATAATAATAATATTTTGGCAAAATATTCCTTGAATAATCGCATTTTTAGTTAACAAAACAAGTATCCTTTATAAGAAATTTATTGCTGTGGAATAATAACTAGGAAAATTAAATTATAATCCAAACGCCTGCAATCCATGCATACACTGACTTCTTGTTTCGCAAAAATTAAATTTTAAATATTCCATAAAAAAATTTTTTTTTCCGATATTTCTTTCATGCAAAACAAAATTTTACCAATTACTTTTTGCATAATAATTAACGCGCAAATTCCCTCTATTACTCTATAATCGTAAAACAATAAGAGGAAATTATTCCATTTTTTAATAAATACTCTAGACTTTTTGGCCTTTTTTATCCCTGGCCATTTGTGTTGACGAAATTTGAAAACTTCTACCTTTGTTTGTTGAATTATCAGAAAAATTTATTTATTTATCATCTTCGCGATTAAATAATGTCGAATTCTTCAAGGCTGGAACTTGGTGTATGGTTGAAGCCAAGAATCTTTCCACTGACGGAAGATAAGACATTAAGCACCTATTGTCATCATTTATTGTCATATGATCACAACAGCAACGAACCTTACCAAAGTGTATTGCGTCATCAATTCCTGCTCCATGTAGGGAGATTTTCCCTGGCTAACGAACCAAATAACTTCCGTCGCGTTTCGAGAACTCTACTTAGCTCGGTAATTGGAGACCTGGTTAGAAGTGCTTCCGGGAGTGAATTATTAAAGGCCACCGTGTATTGTAGGCACTTTAATACACTAATCAGAGAAGATAATCGTGCGAATCAAATTGATCGTAATCAACGTAACAACGCGGCAGCTGATGCAGCTGCTCAAAATCGAAATCGAAATCGAAATCCAAATCCAAATCAAATTTAAAATCAAAATCAAATTCAAATTCAAATTCAAATTCAAATTCAAAATCAAAATCCAAATCAAAATCCAAATCAAAATCAAAATTAAATTCAAAATCAAAATCAAAATCAAAATCCAAATCCAAATCCAAATCAAATTCAAAATCAAAATCAAATTCAAATTCAAAATCAAAATCCAAATCCAAATCAAAATCCAAATCAAAATCCAAATCAAAATCCAAATCAAAATCCAAATCCAAATCAAAATCAAAATCAGATTCAAATTCAAATGCAAATTCAAAATCAGATTCAAAATCCAAATCCAAATCCAAATCCAAATCAAAATCAAAATCAGATTCAAAATCAAAATCAAGATCAAAATCAAAATCAGATTCAAAATCAAAATCAAGATCAAAATCAAGATCAAAATCAAATTCAGATTCAAAATCAAGACCAAGATCAAATTCAGATTCAAAATCAAACTCCAAATCAAAATAATAGTGATTATTATGAGGAGGAGGGATTTGATATTAATTTGTGGAGATCGGATTAAATGAGTTACTATTATATAAGGTAGTAAGTAACCAGTTAAGGGCAAAACATAAGCATAAAACATAAGATATAGAGTTAAACATAAAAATTAAGCATATATAAAATTAAGGTTGTTTTTTAAAAAAAATAAAAAAATAAAAAAAATTTTTATTATTATGTTTATCAATGTGTGATTGTCATTCAGCTGCTATCCAAATTTTTGTGCAAGACATAGATTAGGAGCACAACCAGATTTTATGGCTCAAGTACCTTTGATTCAAGAAATCATTGAAGCTCATGGTTACAAGGTGATATTTTATCCAAAATATCACTGTGAATTAAATTACATAGAGATGTATTAGGGTGGAGCCAAGAGGTTTGCAAGAGAAAATTGTAACTATACCTGGGCAGGTTTGTTGAAAACTGCTCCTTTGACTTTGGACTCTGTTTCCTTATATTCAATTCACAAATTTGAAAGGAAATCAGCTCATTATATGGATTGTTATAAAAAAGGGTTGGATATGAAACAGGCTGAGTATGCTGTGAAAAGATATAAGTCTCACAGAAAAACACCAGATTCAATCTTGACAGAAATAGAATTTTAAAAAATTTTTTATTTTTGCCCCACATGATCTTCAGATATGAAATTTGACCCCTCTATATAAAAGTGGATGTATTACTGTGACACACACTGTACTCTGGAGTATTTACTATATTTTTGTTATTCTTATGGTTTACAAAGCATCAAATAGGTATATGACTAATTTTACACCGCTTGGCATGATTTATTTTTAAAATCAGGCTTAGAGGCATATAAAGATTTTGCAAATATTGTCAAACATCGTAAGTTCAATTCATGTGATGTTCCATTCTCACTTATAACCATTAAGAAGTATTGTAATGGTCTAACATTCCTTCCATTTAAAGGTCACACTGTTACATGCCATCCACTTTCAAATCCATCAGCCAAGCTCTAATTTTTCCTCTAAAAAACATCCTTCATCATGTACCATCAAATCCACAGTTGCATAAGAACATACATTTTGGCCCAGGTATATACTGTGAAAACAAACATGAATTATGGCATGGAGATCTTTGGCAAAAATCACCATTATTTGGTGGGAAAAATATAATGGTAAATATATTTAGTCAAAATAAAATTTACCAATTAATTCTTTTTTTTTATTTTATATATACTAATTTATTATTATTAATATGAATATAGTGGTTTACAGTCATGGCAATTTCATCATGTATTATGATACAGATGCAAGCAACAAAACATACTATGGTAGAATTATATTGATGCCACACATTGATGATTCCCAAGATATTTATATTAAAATTGAGCATATTCTTGAATTTCATTCATTACCTTCAGTGCTAAAAACCAATCAGAGAAAAGTTGCTTCTTGTAATGAACATTTGTGGATGACAGATAAAACATTAATTATTAACCCTATAAGTATTAAGTCCAAAGTATATATATGGTTAATGGATATTAGCAAACCCACAAACCATCAATATTCTATTGATGAAATTGTATATAACATAAATAGGCAATGGGACTACAAGACCAATGGTCTGCCAGTACCTAAATTTTTTCTAGACATTTATATTGAAAAGTTTGGTCCATTTCGTAATGCCTATCAGACATTTATTTACAGATTGGCAATATGAAACAAGTTCTTTGTCAAAAGCTCAAAACCATTTTTTTCTTTGTTTATTCCTTTCACAGCCACAAGTGATGAAGTACTTCAACCCTTATCAATGATATTCAAGAACTTGAACATGGATATAAACTGAAAATTAATAATCAACATGTATGGGTTACAGGTGGATTGGGAGTTATTTACCAGAAGGTAATGAACAGGCAGGAATAAAAAATCATAATGCACAATAACCATATGATTCATCATAATAATTTACATAATATTACTTTTGACATTTCAAGACATGAACAGTACAATCATAAGACTACCTACATTGCAGTTTGCTGCTATAAATGATGCTCAGACTCAAATTGAACAGGATTTCCTTGCAACAGAATATGGTATCCAAGAGAAGCCTCCTATTTCCTTAGTAAATTGGTATAAAATTGTTTTAAAATCAATATTATATTACTATATATTATGTTTTGGGTAATTAGAAAGTGCACGGTTACACTCAATGTGCAAAAACTAATTGTCTTTTTTGAAATTTTTTTAAAAAAGTCCACGATATAAAATGGATAAATTTGATAGTGTTAACAGGGTAAATTGGGTAAATTTATTATATCAAACCCTTGAGTATGCTTAATATAAAAAATTATTGGGACCTCAATTAAAAGTTTTCGGAGTCCTGCTTCGCATAATAATATTTTATTTACATTTAGTAATATTTAGTAATCTAATTCTTAAACAAATTTATGGGAGTGTTACGTCAATTTCGAAAAAAAAAATTTTTTTTTTGACCATTTTGGCACAAAAAAATTATCGGGAGAGACATTAAGATATTTTCTTTAATCTCTTGGATCATATTGTCTGGATTGTTTTGATATGCTTTAAAGATCGTCTACATCCTATCTGCAAACATTCTCGCCACTTAAACTCTTGATAAGCACAATACAAGACACTTTTTTATTAAAAAAAAATTTTTTCAAACAAAATAATTAATTACGAGGGTTTCTTAAATTCACTTTTTTCCAAGCAAAATAATTAATGATTTTTTCAATTCGTTTTTAAACAAAATAATTATTAAACAACAATGTGTAATTTCATTACTACGTTGTTTAATGTCAATAGAAAAAATATATTTTCTATATGTTGCCACTAAAAAAAATAGGAACTGATCTAACCGATACACCTTCTCGTTGAAAAAACAAAAAAACAAACCTCTTTTTAAAAATGCAAAAATTATTGTTGAAGACGCATCGCCATCACTATTTCAAAATTTTAAGTCGTTACTTAATTTTATCCCATCCTTTTTTAAAAAAATTCATTATATGTAACTTTTTTTCAAAAGCGAAAAATTTTGAAAGCCTAGTTAGTATAGTATATATACTAACAACCATTTTAATTTAGTGAAATATAAGATTTTACAAATTACTATACAAACAATAATCATTTAAACAAAAAGGCAAAAGAGGGTCTCGTAATGATAATAACACAACACTAATATATTTACTTACTAATGCTTATTGTTAATATTAGAAAAGGTTATAAATTTCCCAATGATTTTTCCTTCTAATAAATAAAAAGCAACTTTGTTAATTTAGTCAATTCATTAAAACCAACGTTTAGATTATATGGTTATATCGTTTAATATTAATATTAAAAAAGTTGTTACGCACACATTTATAATTAAACTGATATTTGTCAATTTCCTGACTGGTAATGAAGTTGTTCTGACCCCATTTTAAAAGCTAAAGTCATAAGATTATGTCACAACATCTGGCTTCCTATATATACACACCCCTACAAAAAGTATTGACTCGCTTGATGATACGCCAAAATAATCGAATAAACGGGTAATACAAATACTCGTTTTTTTGTGTATTAGCAAGAAAATGTTTGTTGAAATGATTACCATAACACTCTAAAATATCACATTGGGCCGATTGTTATTGATAATTATATGATGTTTAAAAGTCAAATTAAAATTTTTCGAAAATTTTTCGAAAAAGTAGCACTTAGAGCTATTTTAAGATACA